AAGGGAAAAAAGAAAAAAAATAATTAAAATTAATGATCGATTGAACGATGAAATTTGAGTTGTACCCTCGAGTGACAACTATAAACGATTAAAGGGAAATTAAAAAAAAAAAAAAAGAGGAGGAAAAAAAATTAGGTAATTTCAATGAAAATTTTCAAGGCTCGTTTTTTTTTTTTTTTTTTTTTTATTTATATATCTTCGGACAGCTTGCGCGATATTTTTCTCTTCTGTCCTGTTTTTCTTTTCCTTTCTTTTTTCTTCTTTATACTCTCTCGATTTTTCAACATTAGGTTTTATTATATGCGTATGTAATGAAGTGGGGGAAGAGAGAGAGAGAGAGAGAGAGAGAGAGAGAGAGAGAGAGAGAGAGAGAGAGGGAGAAGATCAGTAGAATGACATTGAAAGAAGGATTATGGTTGATAATAATAATAAAAAAAGGGATAAAATTGCGTAATAGTAGAAGCCATTCGAGGAAATGTAATGTAAAGAGGGTCGCTTATTAAAAAATTACGGAATTACATTGTAAAATGGGAGCAAACGTGGTGCCAATTTACTCCCGTAAGTAAGTAGTTGTTGTTGCCATGTCGAGCCATGATCGTATATTTTCGATTGATCGACACAGCAAGAAGAAGTCAAAAGATAGAAGAAGAAAGGAATAAAAAAAAAATATTAATAATAATAATAAATAAATAACTAAATAAATAAATAAATAAATAAATAAATAAATAAATAAACAAACAAACAAATAAATAAACTAAATAAACTAAATAAACTAAATAAACTAAATAAACTAAATAAACTAAATAATTAAACGAACATGTACGAGAAGGAAGGAAAAGGAAGGAAAGAAAATTAATTAAAAAAAGGGGGACAACTTTTAATCAATTTAAATAATAATAATAATAATAATTCATCTCGATCGCGGTGTAAAAATAATTTACACAATGCTAATTCGTCGATACGATAAGCAGGGTGAATAATCGCATATTAGTTGTTGAAAGAGAATTTTATAGTTGGATTTCATATTAGATATTGTAAAGTGTTATTATTTTGCGAAAGGGAAGCGCGGCGGACGCGCGCGCTCGCGCGAACAAATAAAATCCAGTGGTATGCGTGTGTGTATGTCTGTATGTCTGTGTGTCCTGTGTGTCTGTATGTGCGTGTGCGCGCGTGTATGTGTTGATGTACGCAAATGAACGAACGGATGATTGAATCGATTGGATGAGAGTACGTGTTCGCGTGTGTTTGTTCGTGCGTGCAATGCATGCATGCATGCATGCATGCATGCGTCCTGTATGTAAGCTCGTAAATATACATTTAAATGTTTTATGTACGTATGTATCGTACATACGTACATATAAAAAAAATCTACGAGATTTTTAATTATCGAAAAGAATGAAGGTGAGAAATGTTTATATGTGTGTTATCCAACGCGCAAACGAAAAGCAACATAGAGAGAACGGGTCTGCTATTGTGTAAAAAAAAGGTCACGTATGTATATAAGTTGCATACTTGTTACACGTGCACGCGCGCGCGCAGGGTGCCGGAGGTCCAAAAGAAAAAAAAAAAAAGTAAAAAGAAAAAAAAAAAGAAAAAAGAGAGATAAGGGAAGCACGCGATACACGCCTTATACGTACATATATATATATGTATATACACACGTGTAAACATAAATACATATATATACATACATACAAACATACATATATAAATACATACATACATGTATACATACATACATAGATACATGGATACATACATACATACATACATACATACATACATACATACATACATACATACATACATACATACATACATACATACATATATACATACGTACATACGTACATGCATACGTATGCATGCATAGGTGGAGTTTAAATATTTAAGCTAAAAATATTATCGTATAACAACGAAATTTCTGTCCTATCTCAGTCGTTTGTAAAAAAAAATGTCTTTTGATAAAAAGAAAACGAAGATAAAGATATGAAGTAGTAGAAGAAGAAGAAGGGAAAAAAATAGAAAAAGAAAATTAAACTAAAAATTAAACTAAGCGCAGAATTATTATTATTATTAAATAGGCGCACGCGCCTCCTCCTTTTTTTTATTATTTTTTTTTTTTTTTTTTTTTTTTTTTGTTTTTTTTTTCCGCACTTCTAATACGAACTTTGACTATAAAAGTCGCGTTAATTTTTTAATAGAAAATCGGACGGCCGTTCGGGGGTGAGGGATGTGTTGTACGGGGGAGATTAGAAAATATAAAACGGGGGTAAACACCTAAAAAAAATGTTTATAAATATAATTAACAATCCGGAGAATGCTACGGGGGATTGTATAATAAATAAATATTTGCGAATAAATATTAATATAGTGGAAGAAGATCGCGAGGAGACATTCCACGAATCGGGACTTAAGAGAGAAAGAGAGAAAGAGTGAGAGAGAAAGAGAGAAAGAGAGAGAGAAAGAGAGAGAGAGAGAGAGAGAGAGAGAGAGAGAAAGTGCGCACAGGCAAAGAAAATAATGAGAATTTATTAATTAATCGGAATGATTTATATAGTATCTATATTTTATATTTTATATAATATACCGTTATAGTCTTATACCATTGGTTGGAGATATAGTTTATGTTTAAATGGGGGACAAGGAAACAAAAAAAAAATTAAAAACACGAACACATATATATATATACACATAGATACATACATACATACATACCATACATACATATATATATACATGCGTACAGAGAGATATGTGGATAAACACATGCATATTTAGGTAAACAGAATTGATTTTTATCGTCAATGGGATGGTTATAATATTTATATATATATATATATATATATATATATATATATAAATATTATATATATATATATACACTTACAACATCGTTGCACATTAATTGATATATTATAATCGGTTGGGGGTGCAATATCAGTCTCTGCTCTTCTTACTTTTTTCTTTGTTCGTTTGTTTGTTCGTTTCTTATCTTCCTTTCTTTATTAAAAGGGGGAAGAAATTTTATGTATAACTTTATATATGTATATAGACATGCATATAAACGTAGACACACATATACACGAATACATACATACACACAGACATACATACGCACGCACAACACAGCCAATATATAAGATAACGTTTGGCAAGTATAGAAAGTGTTAAATAAGTAACATGGAATGCGTCATTGTAATTGTAATAGGTTTGTTTATCTTTTTTTTTTCTTTTTTTTTCTTTTTTTTTTTTTCTTTTTTTCAAGATATGTAAATCGTAAATCAATGAAGGAAGAACGTAATCGGAGTGTATACGTGTGCCAAAGCGTATACGTGAAATGTGCAAACACACCAAAGTACGGAATAATTATTACACGCGTACATACATACATACATACATACATAAATACATGCATACATATATACATACATATATACATAGAGACACATTAAATACACGCAGAGTAACGTTGAGTCCGCTAGCTATACAAAGAGCCAAATCGCCACATTGTGATGAAATGATATTATCGTTGATCTTATTCTTCTTCTTTCCTCAACTTCTTCTTCTTCTTCTTCTTCTTCTTCTTCTTCTTCTTCTTCTTCTTCTTCTTCCTTTTCCTTTTCTTCTTCTTCCTTTTCTTCTTCTTCCTTTCTTTTTTTCGTCTTTAATTTTTATTTTTGTTCTTTCGTTCTTTTTTTTTCTTTGCTGCAAGAAAGGGCACTTTGCATAGTTAAGGCTACCGCGAACACGCATACTTATAATTTAATAATAATAATATATTATGATATAAAAACAATTCTATTTATATATATATATATATACATACATACATACATACATACATATATATATATATATATATATATATATATATATATATATATATATATATGTATATACATAATAACACTAATAACGATAACAATAACTCTAATAATAATTATAATAATATTAATAATAATATATAACCAGAATATTAATATATTACGTCAAAATATTAAGTATATTAATATATTGGATAATTTATTTTATTTTGTTTTATCGTTTTATGATTTTATATATGTGTTATTCACTGTTTATAACGAATAATTACCATAATGCAGCACAGAACACAATATATCTATATATATATATATATATATATATATATATATATATGTATATATACATATTTATACATATATACATACATATATATATATATATAATAATTATTAACACGCGTATACAGTGAGATTTATTTATTTTTCTCTTTTGTTTTTTTTCCCTTTTATTTTATTTTATTCTTCTTTCCCCCACCCCTCCCCCCACCCCCTCCCGTCGGGGCAAATAGGGTTAAAACGTCTTGTCGGGATAGTTCCACTCACACATTCACAAACACATAAATACAACAAAATATTGCCAGAGAGAATAAGAGAGACAAAAAGAAAGAGAGCGAGAGAGAGAGAGAGAAAGAGAGACATATAAAACAAAAAATGTATAATTAAAAAAAAGCATGATTAGAAGGGCTTAATTTTTAAAAATTACATATATATATATATTTACATTTGTTTAAATTTATATATGCATACACATACACATAAATGTGTGTATGTATATGGAAATATATCACTCGAATTATATTTGCTTTTTCTTTCTTTTATTGTAATCTATTTTTT